GGCTGAACCCACTGACAAGCTGTCCTGGCTTGTCTGCACTTCCCAGCGCCACTCAGGGTGGGAGCCAGGGCTCTGATGTTGGCTGATAGCCGTGGACCAGAAGAGAGCTGCGGGAAGGGAATGTGAAATTGCGAATCTGCCCTAGTTTAAGACAGGAGAACAAGCAGAGGCCTGGGGAGACGGGACGGCACCAGCTGTTGTAAGATGGTGTGAGAGGGACCCTGGCAGATCCAAGGATCCCCACAGTGGGTGAGAGACAGACATGCCATGCAGACAGAGGTTGCCTGGAGAGTTTTACGGAGTGGGGGAAGCAAAGGGAGAGAGAAGGGGAGAGCAGAGTGTACTTGTGGGAAGACCCAGCCGGGTAGGGTGGGGTGCAGAGGGAGGCAGAGAGCCGGAGAGAGGTGGATGGGAGAGAGGAAGAAGAAAGAAGAGATTGAACAGGCGGGTTCCGCATTTTGTTAGGGCAAACGCGTGCGCATTGGGGTGATGCACTCTGCCAGGTCTCCAAGGGCAGGCCAGGTGTGTCTGAATGCCAACATCAGTGCCCTGTCCTGTGACCACCTGCTCACCTACCCTGGCAGCCCAGCATAGCCCTCTTACCAGAGCTCACAGTACAAAATAACCATCATCCATCCCTGGTCCATGATAATCTCAGAGAACAAACTTCTGGCACCACCTGACTAAGCACTTGGATGTGGCTGCAGTTTCCAGTCACCTGGGATGAGGGAATGAATATCTCTGGGGAAAGCAGAGAGAGTGGCCACTGACCATAGGAAAGACGGAACGAAGACAGTGAAGGCATAGAAACAGAGAGCCGAGGTAGAATGAGGCCAAGAACAAGACGGAGACAGAGTCAGGAGGGAAATAGACAAAGAGAGACTGAGAAAGAACGAGAGACAGACACCAAGACTGAGGGACACACAGTAGCAAAGACCAAGTGTGCCGAGGAAGAGTGTGACAGGAGTGTAGAGAGAGCGGGAGACCTGCTGCCCACCCCCAGGGCCAAACCCCAGTGCATCTCAACACCATGGTAGAACAAAGAGCAGTCTCAGGGCCTGCGGAATGCCCCTGGCTCGTTGGCCACCACACCCACAGAGGTGGGGCACATGGTCCCATCCAGAGTCAACAAGTTACTGCTTCCCCCCCCCCCCCCCCAAGGCAAGGAAGTGCCAAGCCTGCTGTTTCCCTGCCAGGGTGATTAGCAGTGAGTTGAAGAAAGATATCTTCCTCCCTCCTCCCCTCCCTCCCCTCCTTCTCTCCCTCCATCACACTATCTTTCTATGTCTCTGTATCACACAGAAAGCAGCTGTTTTAGATCCAACCGCGTGCTGACCAAAACTCTCCCTGAAGGTAACAGCCATTTGGAGTGCGTCTCTTGGAAGGTACTCCATCATAACTGGTGTCCTTATCAAAAGACACACAAAGGACTCCAAGTTCCTTTTCACTGTGTGAGGACCCAGCAAGAAGACGCCCCCTGCTTCCCGGAAGCAGATCCTCGCCAGAGTCCCGCCTGCACTGGCCCCGGACCCCAGATTCTCAGAGTCCGCATGCTTGAAGAAGGTAGGTGCCAGACTGTGACGTTCTGTGAGCTTCCTGTGCGAGCTAAGACAGAGCACCCCGCCCACAGTTCTTTCAGTCTCTCGCAGAGTGGCCCCACCCTGCCAACTGGACAGGGATGAGGCGTTCGAGAGCCAGGCCCAGGTTCACATCTGGACTTGGAGACCACTCCTGGCTAAGCTCAGAGTTCACTCCTGTTTTACCTGGGAATCGCTAACCCTAGGTTCACAGCAGCCCTGTGAGAAGGCGCAGCGTTTGGTTACAGGGCTTCCCATGTACTCCCCAGAGCACCTGACGGAAGGTGGAGCCATCACCAGTTGGTCTAGCGCACATGGCCTCCGAGCCCTGTGGCTTGGCAATCCCCTCCTTTGTGAGGAACACTTTATCCACTGGCAAACGCGACAAGTCGTAACAGAAGTGCCTCAGACCTCCTGGAGACTGGAAATTTAGCAATGTCTTTGACATCATGGAAATAAATTCATTCACGGAAACAAATGAGATGGAAAGAATCCAAATGGATCTCCACCAGGAGCGAGCAAATCAAAGGTACAAGAGCGCATCTCTCCACAGTCAGACAGGCGGGCGAAGGAAATAGACAAACACCGCTCGTGGGAACGCGTGGGAAATTCGTGTGAAGAGACCTGTAAAAATTAAAACACAACTTCTCTATAACCCAGCTATTCTATTCCTGGCTACAGACCCAAGGTCACCTACGCTTATTTATGGCACTGTTGACAGTAGCCTTGGAGTAGATCCAGCCTAGGAACCCGTCAGAGCGCGGATGGGCAAAGATACAGTCCATGTACACACCGAGGTGTAGTCAACCTGAAAGGAAAAGGAAACCATGTGCTTTGCGGAGAATGGATGGAAGCAGAGCTTGCTGTGTCAAGGAACTAAGCCAGGTCCAGAATGTGTAGAATCTGCGGGTGAGGGACCAGACATGGATGTAGAAGGCCTGCTAGGGAGGAGGGAATGAGAAAGCGCAAGGGCAGGTGAATACGGCAAATACGGTTAAGGGCCATCACGTGCTGGTTTGAAAATGTCACATTTAAACATATTATTCTGCCTGATTATATATATACTAAGCAATGAAAACGGCCAGAGAGAAGAATGAACACATGAATAAAAAATAAAATATGCTGTGTCCGTGTTCGCCACCTCTCCTCCCTCTCAGCAAGGAGCACATCTGGACGAAAATAAAGTCCAGTCATGAAATCAAATTCTGGACCTCGGGGTCCCCTCTCCCCCATCACATCACCTTTGACCTTTAAAATCAGTGTTCCATTGGCTAAGACTTGGGAATTCTTGTTTTTCTTTACATAACGATCCAAGAATTAAAACTGAGTGTGCTTTGTCCTTAGCTTTGTCTTTGGCTTCTCGATAAGAGATCCGGGATCAGTAATAAATAACTTCTTGAATATTTAATATGCACAAGGAGCCATTAGGCCGTTGGTGCACACTGTTATTGAATGTGTCATTAGAGGAGCAATGCTTGTCGTTTGTGGAGTTTAATTCCAGCTGCAGCCTCCTGGCAGCACCTTGAGCCTGCAGACATGATGAGTCCCCAGGCTCGGAAAATTGTTCCTTGAAGCAGACTGGTGGGAAAGGGCTGAGATGGGTCGCTGACCCTCCGCTGCCAGCCTTCCTGCTCTCCACAACCCATTGACCAGCATGGTGACCCACCTATCTCCCCAAATCCCTTTCACTTCTATTTCTTTTGCATAGCCTGGCTTTTATTTTTCAATTTTTCCCGAATCTATTGACTGCCTTTTCCTCTCCTTAACGATGCTTTTAAAAAAACATAGAGGTTTTTAATTTTTGATGAATCCAAATTACCTGCTGTTTCTCTTTTATAGGCTGTGTGCTTGGTGTCATCTAAGAAATCTTTTGTCAACACAAAGTCTCCCAGATTCCCCACCCCACCCCTGCTTTCTTCTGAAAGTTTTATTTTCTTAGGGTGAGCTCTTCCATTTAAATGCACGGCATGTTCACGGTGGGTCTCGCTGCGCAGCGACAGGCGTGTCTAAGTTCACCTCCGCTGGCAGCTCTCCACCGCTTTGGATGGATTTCTTTTCTAGTATTTTGTCCTTTTTGACGCTATTATGGAAGGCACCGCACTCTTCAGTTCATCCTGAGATTGTTCATTATAAGAAGAAATACAGTTGCTTGATCTTTGTGGTAGTCAGTCTGGATCATTAGGTTGGCTGGATTTTCAGTCATGTAAGAGATTGTGAGTCTACCAAGAGGGAGACTCACCCAGAATGTGGGTGGCAATATCCCATGAGTTGGGGGCACAGTGGGATAAAAGGGGGCATGGAGGAACCCAGCCAAGTGCCAGCATGCCCCTTTCTCTGCTTCCTGGGTGCCATGATATGAATTCTGCCCCATCACCCCTCCCCATTGTTATAAAATTATGCACCAAAATCAATCCTTTTTCCTCCCCTTTAGGTTGCTTCTGTAAGCTCTTCGTCACATAAGAGAAGTGACTAACACAGCCCGGCATCCCACAACCTTGTCAGGCCCACTTATTCCGTGTGTGTACATGCATGTGTATGTGTCTGTGAGTATCCACACATATGTGTGTCTGTGTGCAAATGTTTGTGTGTGTGCCCATCTCTCTCTGTATGTTTATGCTCGTATTTGCGTATTTCTGTGTGTGTGCGCGTGTCTATGTGTGTCTGGGGCTGTGTATGTTTGCTTGTATGTGTGTGCTTGTTTCTGTCTGTATGTTTGTGTTTGTGTTCATGTGTGAGTCTGTGTGTTTGTGTCTATCTGTATGTGTTTGAGTGTGTGTCTGTCTGTTCACGTGTATGTATGTGTGTGTGCCTGTGTGTTTGCGTATGTCTATGTGTCTGTGTGTGTATGTGTGTGTGTGTGTGTACATATGTGTTCTTGAGCATTTTCTACACCACTGGTAAGGAATATCAGTTCTACTCTTGCTTTGAATTTCAATCCCTTTTATTCTGTTTCTCAGAACCTCCAGCAAATTTTTAAAAGAAGTAGCAAGAGCCGGCGCGTTGCCTGATTCTTGGATCTCAAGGGAAAGGCCTTCAGATTTTTACCACTTAGTGGCAACTGAGCCTTTAGCACACAGCCTCTGGGGAACATTTTGGATTCAAACCATAATAGTAAAGACTATTAACTCCATTTCCAATTACTGTCTCATGGCGCTGTCATTTCAAATTGGTTAAAAAGACCGGGGGCAGTTATAACTCAGTGGTAGGGTACTTGGTTCAATTCCCAGTACAACCAAACCAACCAAAAATAAATAAATAAGAAGTAAATCAATAAAACCAACTAGGAGAGGGAAATAATTTAAATCTATGTGTATGTGTGTTTCTGCTGTTTATTGTTGTTGGTGTTGTTATGAGTAGTTGAGGCTGCCCTTAAACTCCTGAGTAGCCCAGCTGACCTCCGCTCATAGACAGCCTCCTCCTTACCTTTCAGAGTGCAGAGTGCAGGTGGTAGACACGCCATCTTCTAGAGCCGCCCATGTGCTGGCTGCTGCTTGTTTCCTCGTGTGGGTCCTAGAGACCATCTCACGTTCTTCCCTTTTGGCCATTTCTTCTGGGAATGAAGCTGTCTCCATCTTCATCTGGAAAGGTCTTCATTTCTCCTTCATTTTCAAGAGAAAAGTGCGATGGTTAGTTAGTGTTGTCAAGTTCATTGGAAGTTTCCTAATCACCTGGAAGATGAACCCTTAGGCGTGCTGGGGTAGGCTTGTCTTGATGTCATTCATTCAGGTGAGAAGTCCCACTCACTGTGGTGGCCCTGACTCCCAGAGTGGCATCTGGTGCTGTGTCAGTGGTGAAAGGGAGCTGAGCAGCACCAGGATGTCATCACTCTCTGCTTCTTGGCTGTGGCTGTGTTGTGACCACCTGCCTCAAGCTTCAAGTTCCTTGGCTTCCACACCATGGTGGACTGTACCCTGGAAGTATAAAGCAGAGTAAACCCTTTGTCCCTTGTTGGTTTTGGCAGAGCATCTTACCACAGGGACAGAATAGAAAGTAAAGCAGATACTTTGGTTGGTTGTAAAATTCTGAGCTCACAACCTGTCAACACTGAATGAACGTGACATTCCATGGCCTGCCTGCCTCTATAGTAAGAAGCCGAATGTCACTCATCACTCTTCTCTTGCCGACCTCAGCATTTTCTCTTTGTGCGTTTCTTCAGATGGATTCCGCTGGGTCTAGATGCAAACCCGCTCCTTTCTATGTGGATTCATTTACTTGTGTGTATATATGCATTCGTGTGCCATGACATGTATGTGGAAGTGAGAACAACCTTTGGGAGTCAGTTCTCTCCTTCCAACACATGAGTCCTGGGAATCAAACTTAGGTCAGTCCCAGTGGCGAGCCTCCTTATCCACTAAGCCGCCTCATCAACCCTGCTGAACCTTTTTGGATAAGTGTTTTTCATCACAATAATGGCATCTTCCGCTATTATTTCTGCAGACAAGTTCTTCTCTTCTTTTTTCCCCCACTGCTAGATCCCTCGTCTTACTCACATGTAGCATCACATAGATCTGTGAGCCTGTTCTTTCTCCTTCATTTTTTCTTCTTTGCTTTTCAGACTTAACAATTTCTGCTAGTGATTCTCTCTTCTTCCAGATTCAATTTGTTTATAAGAATCTCCCTTTTTAAATTTCCCATTCCGAGCACTGTACTTCATAATTCTCAGTTTTTTACTTAGTGCTGTTAATTACTCTTCTCTCTCTCTCTCTCTCTCTCTCTCTCTCTCTCTCTCTCTCTCTGTAGCTTTGGAGCCTGTCCTAGAATTAGCTATTTATTTATTTATTTATTTATTTATTATGTATACAATATTCTGTCTGTGTGTATGCTTACAGGCCAGAAGAAGACACCAGACCTCATTATAGATGGTTGTGAGCCACCATGTGGTTGCCAGGAATTGAACTCAGGACCTTTGGAAGAGCATGCAATGCTCTTAACCACTGTGCCATCTCTCCAGCCCTGGAACTAGCTCTTTAAGACCAGGCTGGCCTTGAACTCACAGAGATCTGCCTGCCTCTGCCTCCCGAGTGCTGGGATTAAAGGTGTGCACCACCACCACCATCCGGCTCATTCTTATTACTATTCATTATCCAATGAGACATAATTGTCATATTTTCCTTTATTTTTTTATTTTAATGTTTAGTGACATATTAATTATATATAATAATGGATTTCATTGTGACATTTTCATATATATACTTAATTATTTCAACACTATTTGCCTCCTGTCACCCTCTCTTCTCCTCCTCCAGTTCTCATTAATCCCTTCCGTTTCCCATTGGTCCACATATGTATGAGTGCATTGTGTGTGTGTGTGAATACACACACATATGCGTGTGCATGCCCACGCACACATGTATGTGCTTTCAAATAAGTGTCCAATAAGAAAGGACAGGATGTATGCAAAGGGACATGAGTCATGGAAAAGGATATAAAGCTATTTTTTTTCTAATTTCAACTCTGCCATGGTTTTTTTTTTTCTTTTTTTCCTAGTGGATATGAGAATTCAACTTTCCAGGTATTGGAGTAACAAGAACCATTTTGCATTCCAAAAGAACCCACAGTATGTTATTCCTTTGAGACAGTGAATGCAGGAGTCAGGCCTGCTTTTTAATTCCCTTGGCCATGAGCGCGCGAGGACTCAGACATGACTCGTCAGTGAGTGCATTTGCTGCGCTGGCACACTTCAAAACAAAGGGGTTTGGGTTGGTTTTTTTAATCTGTTTGGGGGAGAGAAGTTTTTTTAGCCTGAAATTCTTCCCGTTCATTCTTCTCTGTAGACTATATATCAAATCATTTTACCTCAGTGCTATGCAGTATGGAAACAGTATGACTACACACAAAACAAAACACAGTTTTACATTTTAAAGGTTTTGTTTTTACAGAAGCCTGGGTAGAGATGTGTGTTCACCCTACCGGTGGCTAGACCACTGAAGGAACTGCCTCTCCACCACCCGTCATCCACATACAAATCCTCAGAGAGGGCTGGAAGCCACGAGTGTCTCCTATCCACAGCAGGCCCAGTCTTGTGTAGGGCTGGTGCTGTGGTCTCAGCTGCTGTGAAATCTACGGTGAAGCAGCCATGTCATCCCAGTAACTCGGCCTCCCACTCTCTGTCCCTGGCTCTCACGCTCTCTCCACACCCTTTTTCCACGATGTCCTATAAGCCCTGAGTGGGTGTTATAGAAGTCACCCTATCGTCACTTATTATCTGTATTTTGACCAGTACGGCTCTCCATAGTCACCACAGATCACTGCAAAATCCTTCAGCTCTTTAGATCCAGGTCTTTGAAAACATCTATGAATCTTATTGTGGTTGGAACATAAAATGTTCCCTGCAGGTCCATTTGTTTAAATACTTGGCCCCAGCTGGTAGTGAATATTTGAGAAAATTTCTAAAGCATTAACGGTAGAGCTTTAGAAACCATGTCTTTGCAGGCTGAAGAGATGACTGAAGAGTTAAGAGCACTTGTTGCTCTTTCAGAGGACCCAGGCTCAGTCCCTGACACACATACAGCAGTAAACAGCTGTCAGAAAGTCCAGTTCCTGGGGATCTGAGGCCCTCTGTTGATCTATGCAGGCACTGTGTGCCTGTGGTGTACGTGCACAGATATACATGCAGGTAAAACATCCATACACATAAAAGAATTAATTAATAGGCCAAATATAGTGGTGTATACTCTTAATATCAGCATTGGAGGCAGACACAGTAGAATCTCTGAATTCAAGGCCAGTCTGGACTACATAGTGAGACCCTGTCTCAAAATTCAATCAATCTATAAGCTCAAAAAAGTAAAAAGTTCTGTCTTTGGTCCATTCTATTCTGCTTGAATTGGTTCTGTTTCTCCTTATAGCAGTCAAGGTGAAAGGAGACTTTTGTCTATGTACCCAGTGCACACTGAGCCCTGGGAACACCACTGACATGCTACCATCTTTCATTGTCCTCAGATGTCTTCAGACACAGGGACAGATGCTTAGAAACAAGGAACTTGTCAAGCAGTGTCCCTGCTGAGGCAAACCACTGACAGCCACGTCTGATGAGTAAGATAGGAGAGGACGTCTTAGCAGCCTGACCTAGGAAGCGCTCTGACCAAGATGCTCAATGGTCCCCTGGTGGGACAAGCTGTTATAGCTCTCCTGATCTCTAAAATGGAAATACACATCAGGAGGTGACTGGCAAGCCAGGGCTCCCCACTCGTGTGGGTCACTTATTATGATTGGCAGTTCTAAAAATCTCCAGGACGATGGATTCCTGGGTGTGCACAGAGCTTGCTGTGTGTGTTGTGAAAACACATCAAGAGCTTCACACATTTCTGGGATGAATATCAATCGACCATTGACCCTTTGTAGCCATAGAGAGTCATGACTTCAACAGTTATTAGTTTTGTGATATTGTTCACAGAGAGAAAACAGATGTCAACAAAGACAAAAAAGAAAACAGACCTGGAAATGCATCAACCCAGAGAAAACAAATGTCAGACCCCTGCCACGCAACACTCATCAGACACACTCTGTGTCACTATGTGAACTCCAAGGCACATGGCAGTCTAGAGCAATGCACCAGGCCATGGCCAGCTGAGCCGCTTCCCTCTGCAGCTGCCAAGACTATGTTCCAATGAGTTCCTGCTCTCCCATGAGGAGTAGGTGCCCGTCCCAGAAACCCCTGCTCCTCACCCGGGGACCCAGCTTCCTGGTGGCCTCGTTTTCATCCTATGCTGTGAACTTTAGGTTTGACCTCCGTTCCTAGGCCCTATTCATTTGTCCCTTTTTATAAACACCTGTCAGTGTGACCTTTGCCGTGTGTGTGTCTTGATTCTGCTTTATGTTACAGGTGCTACGTAACAAGCAGAGGAAGCTAACCTCCACTCCTGGCTTCACTGGGCTTTTGTCATCAAGGATGTGGAACCTTCTCAAACATACTGTCTCAGTTACTTGTCCATTGCTGTGACGAAACACCATGACCGAGAGAACTTACACAGAAGAGAACGCGCTTGGCGAGGCTTATGGTTTCGGAGGGCTAGAGTCCATGATGATTCAGCAAAGGCACAGTGTCAGCAACCGCGGAGACATCATATCCTGATCTGCGAGTGGGAGGCAGTGAGAGAAGCTGGGAATAGTGGAGACCTCCTCCGACAAGGTCCTTCCCAAACAGTTCCACCAACTGGGTACCGAGCACACACGTGAGCCTCTGGGGGCCATTCTCGTTCAAACCACCATGCACAGTTTATGTGCCAATAATTATTAATAGCTGATGCTTTCTTCTTTGTCCCGCTAATGTGGCGGATTATGTGGATTAATTTTCAAGTACTGGATTAGCCTTGAATCCCAGCAATAATCCTCATGACTGCTGATGTATGATTCTTCCCACACACCCAGAGTTCCATTTGCCAATTTGTCATTAAGAAGCTTTATGACTACAGTAGCAAAGGAGATGGCTCTTTAGTTTCTTTTTATTATATTGTGTAATGTCAAGTTGGGGCACAGGGTGCTACCCCTCAAATGTCTAGAAGAGACTAAAAGTGCTGTTGATTCTCTAAATCTAAAAGTAGTATTAGTTCTTTAAATTACTGATAGAATTCTCCCTGAAGCCATCTGGGTCTGGAGA